TTATCAGGGGCCATTAGTGTCTGATAATAGCAACCAATCCCTTGTTTGGTCAGCCCTAATTTCTTTAAAGGAAAATCTCCTTTGGCATGCAACTAACTCCTCCCCTTGTTCACCCAATGGAACAATGCAAGGAATAAAGATATATATTAAGATCTGGCACCAAAAGTCAAGGTCATATCCTGCCTATCCACAAATACACCTTTCCACGTTCCTATCAGAAAGAAGTGTCCTCTTCTTACCCCAGGCTTTGCTCAGCAACTGAGAGATGAAATGGCATGCATTGTTCATTATGATAATTACAAAATACGTAGAATGTCAGTCAATAGGACTGTAGAAATCTTTTAACTCAGCCTCTTCCTTTTACAGGTCAAGAAACAGAAATCCATAGTCTCATAGTCCAGTAGAGGTCACCTGGATTTCTGATTCTCAAACCAGGCATATTTCTACCAAGACAAGTCACAATCCACATCATAACATGTTTTCCACAACAGACTTAGGGAGAAAACTGCAACTATTCACCCTGATTCTTTCGAGGAATATCATCTTATCTTTGCCATTGTGTGTCCTGTGGCATTTATAGACATTTTAAAGAGAACTCTGACTAAATGGGATCCATCACCCGAGAATGATGGCTAGAGTGGTAAAAATACCCTTTAAAATAAAAATCCAATTGATATTGACCTCTGGTTTAAAATACAGTTTATCGGTATAGGAGACGCTGACTCTTCAGCGTGATACCTTCCAGCTCTCAGCATAAGGAAATTGAGTTACTGCTTAGAGCCCATGCAAGAAATCAAATTAGAATAAGAAAAGAGGCCAAGGGAGCAAGATGGCGGAGGAGTGGGAGCCCTGGATTTCGTCTGGTCTCAGGAATTCAGCTGAATAGGGATCAAACCATTCTGAACACCTACGAACTCAACAGGAGATCGAACAGGAGAGTAGCAACAACTCTCTGAACAGAAAAGCGACCACTTACTGGAAGGTAGAGCGTGCGGAGAAGTGAATCCGAGGCGATATTCGGGAGGATAGACGGTGGGGGAGGGGGCCTCTGTCGGTTGCTTCTGGCAAGTGCTAGAGCCGCGGAGCACAAAATCGGACCTTTTAGAAGTTGGCTCGGCGGAGGGACGTCGCTCCAGTGGCTAAGCGGGGGGTGGAACCCTCATGGGACAGTGTGATCTCAGGACCCTCGGGGTCACAGAAAGACCGGGGGTGCCTGAGTGCGGCAGAGCTCCCGGGTATCAGAGCGGGGAAGCCGGCTGCAGAGACGGAGCTGAGATGCGGGCTCTCAGCTCAGGGTTGCCATAAACTGTGATTGGCGACACAGTCGGGCTACTCCTCCTCCAGCAGGGACCCAACAAGTGGCAGAACCAGGGAGACTTCCCTTCCTCCCCGGGGAGGAACAGCGTGGGAGCACACCGCAGGGATCTGTTGGGTTTGGAGACTCCACACCCAGTGGGTGCCAGAGATAGAAACGCTCGGTCACAGGCCGGGTGAGCACAGAGTGCGGCCAGAGACCGGGGACACGGGAGGGACTGACTGCTTTTCTCTGGGGGTGCACTGAGGAGCGGGGCCCCAAGTTCTCGGCTCCTCCAGGCAGAAATTGGTAAGCCACCATTTTCATTCTCATCCTCCAAAGCTGGACGAAAAGCTTGCAGGGAACAAAAGCTCCCGAGAGCAAACCCGAGCAGATTGCTTAGCCCGGACCTACAAGGGCGGGGCAATTCCACCTCCGGCAAAGACATTTGGGAACCAGGGCAACAGGCCCCTCCCCCAGAAGATCAGCAAGAACAGCCAGCCAAGACCAAGTTTACCGATCAAGGAGAACGGGAGAACTCCAGCGCTAGGGGAATACTGCACAGAGAATTCATGGCTATTTTACCATGATTCATTAGTTTTTCAAAGTTAATTTTTTAACTGTTTTTTTAATTTTTCTTTTTCCCTTTTTCAACCAACATCTTATCAATCCCTTTAAAAAGAAAACATTTTTATTTTTTATTTTTACAGTCATATTCTATCCCTTCATAGTAGATACCCTTATTTTTGGTATATATATATCAGTTGTTCTCTCTTTAAAATTTTAGGATACAGTTTCTTCTAACAGATCAAAATACACCCTAAATCACTAGTGTATGGCTTTGTTCTAGTCTCCTGCCTGATCACATTCTCTCCTTGTTTTTCTTTTTTTTTTTAAATCTTCTTTCTTTTTGCAAACAACTTCTTATCTTATCAATTCCTTTTATAAAATCTTTTATAACTTTCATCTTTACAGTCATCCTCCATCCCTTCGTTGTATCAACCCTTATTTTGTACATACATAAGTCTTTCTTTCTTTAAAATTTTAGGAAGCACTTTCTTCTAACAGACCAAAATAAAGCAAAAATCTAGTGTGTGGCACTGATCTATGCACTAGCCTGATCATATTTGATCATATTCTGTCTCTTTTTTTTGTTCTGGTTTGTTTGTTTTTATCTTTTTCTTTTCACTTTCTCTTTTCTTTCTTTCCCTTTCTTTTCCCCTGGTTTCAGGTCTTTTTCTGATTTGTTTAGAGTATATTTGCTGGGGACGTTGTTCACCTATTAGCAATTTGTTCTCTCATTCATCTATTGTCCTCTGGACAAAATGACAAGACAAAAAAAATCACCTCAGCCAAAAGAACAAGAGGTAGTACCGTCTGCCAGGGACCTACTCAATACGGAAAATAGTACAATGTCGGACCTAGAGTTCAAATCATGACTTTAAAGATATTAGCGGGACTTGAAAAAAGCATGGAAGTTATTTGAGAAACCCTTCCTGAAGAAATAAAAGAACTAAAATCTAACCAAATCGAAATCAAAAAGGCTATTAATGAAGTGCAATCAAAAATGGGGGCAATAACTGCTAGGATAAATGAGGCAGAAGAGAGAATCAGTGATACAGAAAATCAAATGATGGAAAATAAAGAAGCTGAGAAAAAGAGAGATAAACAACTACTGGATCACGAGGGCAGAATTTAGGAGATAAGTGATACCATAAGATGAAACAACATTAGAATAATTGGGATCCCAGAAGAAGAAGAAAGAGAGAGAGGGGCAGAAGGTATATTGGAGCAAATTATAACAGAGAACTTCCCTAACTGGGGGAAGGAAACAGGCATCAAAACCCAGGAGGCACAAAGAACCACTCTCAAAATCAATAAAAATAGGTCAACACCCCAACATCTAATAGTAAAACTTACGAGTCTCAGAGACAAAGAGAAATTCTTGAAAGCAGCTCAGGAGAAGATATATGTAACCTACAAGGGTAGAAACATTAGATTGGCAACAGACCTATCCACAGAGACCTGGCAGGCCAGAAAGGACTGGCAAGATATCTTCAGAGCACTAAACGAGAAAAATATGCAACCAAGAATACTATATCCAGCTAGGCTGATACTGAAAATAGAAGGAGAGATCAAAAGCTTCCAGGACAAACAAAAACTAAAGGAATTTGCAAACACGAAACCAGGCCTACAAGAAATATTGAAAGGGGTCCTCTAAGCGAAGAGAGAGCCTAAAAGCAGCATAGACCAGAAAGGAACACAGACAATATACAGTAACAGTTATCTTACAGGCAATACAATGGCACTAAATTCATATCAATAGTTACCCTGAATGTAAATGGGCTAAATGCCCCAATCAAAAGACACAGGCTATCAGATTGGATAAAAAACAAGACCCATCAATATGCTGTCTGCAAGAGACTCATTTTAGACCCAAAGACACCCCCAGATTGAAAGTGAGGGGGTGGAAAACCATTTACCATGCTAATGGACACCAAAAGAAGGCTGGGGTGGCAATCCTTATATCAGACAAATTAGATTTTAAACCAAAGACTGTAATAAGAGATGAGGAAGGACACTATATCCTACTTAAAGGGACTATCCAAAAAGAAGATCTAACAATTGTAAATATCTATGCCCCTAACACGAGAGCAGCCAATTATATAAGGCAATTAATAACAAAAGCAAAGAAACACATTGACAACAATACAATAATTGTGGGGGACTTTAACACCCTCCTGACTGACATGGACAGATCATCTAAGCAAAAGATCAACAAGGAAATAAAGACTTTAAACGACACACTGGACCAAATGGACTTCACAGACATATTCAGAACATTTCATCCCAAAGCAATGGAATACACATTCTTCTCTAGTGCCCATGGAACATTCTCCAGAACTGATCACATCCTAGGTCACAAATCAGGTCTCAACCGGTACCAAAAGATTGGGATTATTCCCTGCATATTTTCAGACCACAATGCTTTGAAACTAGAACTCAATCACAAGAGGAAAGTCAGAAAGAACTCTAATACATGGAGGCTAAAGAGCATCCTACTAAAGAATGAATGGGTCAACCAGGAAATTAAAGAAGAATTAAAAAAATTCATGGAAACCAATGAAAATGAAAACACAACTGTTCAAAATCTTTGGGATACACCAAAGGCAGTCCTGAGAGGAAAGTATATAGCAATACAAGCCTTTCTGAAGAAAGAAGAAAGGTCTCAAATACACAACCTAACCCTACACCTAAAGGAGCTGGAGATAGAACAGCAAATATAGCCTAAACCCAGCAGGAGAAGAGAAATAATAAAGATCAGAGCAGAAATCAATGAACTAGAAACCAAAAGAACAGTAGAACAGATCAACGGAACTAAGAGCTGGTTCTTTGAAAGAATTAACAAGATTGATAAACCCCTGGCCAGACTGATCAAAAAGAAAAGAGAAATGACCCAAATCAACAAAATCATGAATGAAAGAGGAGAGATCACAACCAACACTAAAGAAATACAAACAATTAGAAGAACATATTATGAGCAACTCTATGCCAGCAAATTAGATAACCTGGAAGAAATGGGTGCATTCCTAGAGATGTATCAACTACCAAAATTGAACCAGGAAGAAATAGAAAACCTAAACAGACCTATAACCACTAAGGAAATTAAAAGCAGTCATCAAAAATCTCCTAACAAACGGCGTTCAGTCGGATCCCGGCAGCAGCTGCAGCGGCTCTCACCTCTTCTGACTCTCCTTGCTATCTCTCTTTCGCTTCCGGAAACATGGCCTCCGGCGTGGCGGTCTCTGACGGTGTCATCAAAGTGTTCAATGACACGAAGATGCGCAAGTCCTCGACACCAGAGGAGGTGAAGAAGCGCAAGAAGTCGGTACTCTTCTGCCTGAGCGAGGACAAGAAGAACATCATCCTGGAGGAGGGCAAGGAGATCCTGGTAGGTGATGTGGGCCAGACTGTAGACGACCCCTACGCCACCTTTGTCAAGATGCTGCCAGACAAGGACTGCCGCTATGCCCTCTATGACGCAACCTATGAGACCAAGGAGAGCAAGAAGGAGGATCTGGTGTTTATCTTCTGGGCACCTGAGTCTGCACCTCTTAAGAGCAAAATGATTTATGCCAGCTCCAAGGATGCCATCAAGAAAAAGCTGACGGGGATCAAGCATGAATTACAAGCAAACTGCTATGAGGAGGTCAAGGACCGCTGCACCCTGGCAGAGAAACTGGGGGGCAGTGCTGTCATCTCCCTGGAGGGCAAGCCTTTGTGAGCCCCCTCCAGCCCCCTGCCTGGAGCATCTGGCAGCCCCAGACCTGCCCATGGGGGTTGCAGGCTGCCCCCTTCCTGCCAGACCGGAGGGGCTGGGGGGATCCCAGCAGGGGGAGGGCAATCCCTTCACCCCAGTTGCCAAACAGTCCCCCCTTACCCCCTGGACCTTCCTCCTCCCTCCACCCCTGACGGTTCTGGCCTTCCCAAACTGCTTTTGATCTTCTGATTTCTCTTGGGTTGAAGCAGACCAAGTTCCCCCCAGGCACCCCAGTTTAGGGGGGCCTGTATTTTTTTTAACGACACCCCAATTCCCCACCTGTTCCTCCCTTTTCCCATGCTGCCAACTTCTAACCGCAATAGTGACTCTGTGCTTGTCTGTTTAGTTCTGTGTATAAATGGAATGTTGTGGAGATAAAAAAAAAAAAAAAAAATCTCCTAACAAACAAAAGCCCAGGGCCAGATGGCTTCCCAGGGGAATTCTACCAAACATTTAAAGAAGAATTAATACCTATTCTTCCGAAACAATTCCAAAAAATAGAAATGGAAGGAAAACTTCCAAACTAATTTTATGAGGCCACCATTACCTTGATCCCAAAACCAGACAAAGACTCCATCAAAAAGGAGAATTACAGACCAATATCCTTGATGAACATGGATGCAAAAATTCTCACCAAAATACTAGCCAATAGGATCCAACACTACATTAAAAGGATTACTCACCACGACCAAGTGGGATTTATCCCTGGGCTGCAAGGCTGGTTCAACATCCACAAATCAATCATCATGATACAATATATTAACAAAAGAAAGAACAAGAATCATATGATCCTCTCAATAGATGCAGAAAAAGCATTTGACAAAGTACAGCATCCTTTCTTGATCAAAACTCTTCAGAGTATAGGGATAGAGGGTACATACCTCAATATCATAAAAGCCATCTACGAAAAACCTACAGCGAATATCATTCTCAATGGGGAAAAGCTGAGAGCTTTTCCCCTAAGGTCAGGAACATGGCAGGGATGTCCACTCTCACCACTGCTATTCAACATACTATTAGAAGTCTTAGCCACAGCAATCAGACAACAAAAAGAAATCAAAGGCATCCAAATCAGCAAAGAGGAAGTCAAACTCTCACTCTTTGCAGATGATATGATACTTTATGTGGAAAACCCAAAAGACTCCACCCCAAAACTCCTAGAACTCATACAGGAATTCAGTAAAGTGGCAGGATATAAAATCAATGCACAGAAATCAGTGGCATTCCTATGCACCAACAACAAGAGAGAAGAGAGACAAATCAAGGAGTCAATTCCATTTACAATTGGACCCAAAACCATAAGATACCTAGGAATAAATCTAACCAAAGAGGCAAAGGATCTGTACTCAGAAAACTATAAAATACTCATGAAAGAAATTGAGGAAGACACAAAGAAATGGAAAAACATTCCATGCTCATGGATTGGGAGAACAAACATTGTGAAGATTTCAATGCTACCTAGAACCATCTACACATTCAATGCAATCCCCATCAAAATACCATCCACTTTTTTCAAAGAAATGGAACAAATAATCCTAAAATTTGTATGGAACCAAAAGAGACCCTGAATAGCCAGAGGAATGTTGAAAAAGAAAAGCAAAGCTGGCGGCATCACAATTCCAGACTTCCAGCTCTATTACAAAGCTGTCATCATCAAGACAGTATGGTACTGGCACAAAAACAGACACATAGATCAATGGAACAGAATCGAGAGCCCAGAGATGGACCCTCAACTCTATGGTCAACTAATCTTCGACAAAGCAGGAAAGAATGTCCAATGGCAAAAAGACAGTCTCTTCAACAAATGGTGTTGGGAAAATTGGACAGCCACATGCAGAAGAATGGAACTGGACCATTTCCTTACACCACACACAGAAATAGACTCCAAATGGTTGAAAGACCTAAACGTGAGACAGGAGTCCATCAAAATCCTAAAGGAGAACACAGGTAGCAACCTCTTCGACCTCAGCCGCAGCAACTTCTTCCTAGAAACATCGCCAAAGGCACGGGAAGCCAGGGCAAAAATGAACTATTGGGATTTCATCAAGATAAAAAGCTTTTGCACAGCAAAAGAAACAGTCCACAAAACCAAAAGACAACCGACAGAATAGGAGAAAATATTTGCAAAGGACATATCAGATAAAGGGCTAGTATCCAAAATCTATAAAGAACTTATCAAACTCAACACCCAAAGAACAAATAATCCAATCAAGAAATGGGCAGAAGACAGGAACAGACATTTTTCCAAAGAAGACATCCAAATGACCAACAGACACATGAAAAAGTGTTCAACATCGCTCGGCATCAGGGAAATCCAAATCAAAACCTCAATAGATACTACCTCACACCAGTCAGAATGGCTAAAATTAACAAGTCAGGAAACGACAGATGTTGGCGGGGATGCGGAGACAGGGGAACCCTCTTACACTGTTGGTGGGAATGCAAGTTGGTGCATCCACTCTGGAAAACAGTATGGAGGTTCCTCAAACAGTTGAAAATAGAGCTACCATATGATCCAGCAAATACCCAACTACTGGGTATTTACCACAAAGATGCAAATGTAGAGATCCGAAGGGGTACGTGCACCCCAATGTTTATAGCAGCAATGTCCACAATAGCCAAACTGTGGAAAGAACCAAGATGTCCATCGACAGATGAATGGATAAAGATGTGGTATATATACACAATGGAATATTATGCAGCCATCAAAAGGAATGAGATCTTGCCATTTGCAACGACGTGGATGGAACTGGAGGGTGTTATGCTGAGTGAAATAAGTCAATCAGAGAAAGACATGTATCATATGACCTCACTGATATGAGGAATTCTTAATCTCAGGAAACAAAGTGAGGGTTGCTGGAGTGGTGGGGGGTAGGAAGGATGGGGTGGCTGGGTGATAGACATTGGGGAGGGTATGTGCTATGGCGAGTGCTGTGAATTTTGCAAGACTGTTGAATCACAGATCTGTACCTGTGAAACAAATAATGCAATATATGTTAAGAAAAAAAAAAAAAAAGAAGAGGAAGATAGCAGGAGAGGAAGAATGAAGGGGGGGGAAACGGAGGGGGAGACCAACCATGAGAGACGATGGACTCTGAGAAACAAACTGAGGGTTCTAGAGGGGAGGCGGTGGGGGGATGGGTTAGCCTGGTGATGGGTATTAAAGAGGGCATGTTCTGCGTGGAGCACTGGGTGTTACGCACAAACAATGAATCATGGAACACTACATCACAAACTAATGATGTAATGTGTGGTGATTAACATAACAATAAAAAATTTAAAAATAAAATGCAGTTTATCCCCAGTTTCCACATAGGAGAAAAAAGAGGGAAGAAGATACAGAAAGAGGGAAAACCCTACAAGGAGAATGAAACTATTATTGGCAGACAAACTATTCCCAGAATATGTAAGGAGATGTCACTAATTACAAAATAAAGCCAACAGCTGCCCCGTTGGAGCTCAGACCCTTATTCTGTCTCTATGCTCAGAAACCAAGGTCTGTATGCAACAGAAAATGGCTCAGCCATCCCCATGTTGGGTAGGTGCAGGTTTTTGATAGTTATAATCCCTTCAGAGCCTCACTTTATACTTTTATCTGAAGAAGGAAACTAAATAAAAGACGCGAAATAAGGAAAAAGAGGGTAAACAGTGAGGATGCATTGCACACAGAGAGTGGCAGTTCTGAGTGCAAGGTATCAGGAGCTTCAGTAGGAGGAGATGCAGGGGTCATGTTTTTTTCCCATGTTCTATCCATTCAGAAGTTCAGGAAACCAGATAACAAAGAGAGGGCTCCACTTAGCAAAGAGCTGGGAGAAAGAACCAGAAGGTAGAATGCAAATTAGGAGAATAAAATCTAATGGGTTGTCCGTGAGACCATGAAGAATGGCAAGAAAACACGTTTGCCCTCTCAAATCAAATATCCACTTCATGTCTGGCAAAAAGTAGACTTGATAGTGTAGAAAACTGAACCCATGGTTTGGAGGAAAAGTTGGGTGTTCAGAATAAATGAGAAGAGATAAGGAGATAAAATGAAATGCAAGGGGTGCCTGGTTAAGTGACTGCCTTTGACACAGGTCATGATCCTGGGGTACTGGGATCGAGTCCCACATTGGACTCCTCCTGCTCTGTGGGAAGCCTGCTTCTCCCTGTCCTTCTGCCTGCCACTCGCCCTGCTTGTGCTCTCTCTCTCTCTCTCTCTGTCAAATAAATAAATCAAATCTTTAAAAAAAATGAAATGCAAAAAGTGGCAGATACCCAAAACCAGCACTGCCAACTTCCATACTGTGAATTCTTTTTTGTTAAAGATTTATTTATTTATTTGAGGGGGGGGACAGAGGGAGAGGGAGAGAGAGATTCCCAAGCAGACTCCCCACCAAGCACTAGCAAGAGTCCCATGTGGGGTTCCATATTACAACCCTGAGATCTTACAACCTGAGCCAAATCAAGAGTCAGATGCTCAACCAACTGAGCCACCCAGGTGCCCCACATAGTGTGAATTCTTGAGGAAGATACCAGAAAAGGTGAAAAGAAAATTTTGATTTAAAATATTTTATGAAAATGTTAGAATTCAAAAAAAAACAAAAACAACAAACAAGAAAAAAAAAAACCTGAGTATGTGAAGGGAAAGGGCTCATTCACCATGTTCCAACCTAAATTGATGAGAGAAGCCACATCAAGATGCTTTCTGATGACTCTTAAATCAAAGGAATGGAGGAAAAGGCATTTAAGAATTCTGGCAGAGGAGAAGAGGCAAAAGAAAAAGAAACAAAAGAAAACAAAACTTAAAGCAGCTTCAGACGTCCCTTCCGGGGCACTGAAAGCTAAAAGAAAATGCAACAATAGTTTTGGCTGAACTTAAAATGAATAAAAGATTATAAAGAGACATACACCAATAATCAAGAGAGGACTCAAAAAGATAAAACTTGATCTAAAAGGACTGGTGGTGAACACTGAAATTCATGAAGGATGATCTGAATAAAGATTATGAAAACATCAACAGACTAAATACAAATGTAAAATACCTCTTACAGTTAGAAACTAGTAAAAAAAATAATTATTTAATATCAATCATCTGAATGTAAAAACAGGCAGGTGATTTTTTTTCACTCTCAAGAATGGGAAATGGACATAAAAATGCATTAAATCCCTTACTTGATATAGAGAGTTTAAAATTTTTTTCATTCTTAATTTTGAGTCTTTATAGAAATACACATTTTGAAATTTTTTCACTTAGAAAGCCACTAGTAAAATTAAAACTAGAGTACATCGATTCAAAAATTCCAGGAAAGTGTAAAGGTGAAAAATAAGTACACAAAAAAAGAACAGAAAACACGGGGAAAAGGAAA